AATCTATTATTTGATTCAGAAAAATTAAAGCTAGGCAAAACAACAATTAAACGTCGTATACATGCAGGTATAAGAAAATATAGTAAATATGCATAAACAGAGAGTCTAGGTTAATTAATCAGAAAATTGCTTTAAAACTGAAATTTCCAAGGGTTTATATTCGAAAACACCATCAGTTCACAGTTACCAGAAAATAGGCACTATTCTGCCATAATACTTGACCAATGATCAATTCTACAAGAATCGAGGTCTTGTTCATAAATTTCAGATTTATTGAACTCTTTCTTAATATTGCTGGGTTTTATAAATATTTTCTGCAGCCCAATTCCTTTTAATTCGACCCATATTCTCGTACACGGTCCAAAATCCTTCGGGATCTCCGACTAAAAATTCTTTTTGATCCGTAGCTTTTCTCTTCCTGAGTTATGAGTCCTGACGGCCGCCCGTAGCCTTTCTTGGCTTCTTCTTGCTAACCACGGCTCCGATGGTGTGCGGCGTACCAACTATGGATGGCTATCGTGAGTCGTGCAGGCTGGTTAGCAAGCAGACGCATGATGCTGCCTATAGCTTGCGGGCTATGTCCTCATCAACGGGAATACGGGATTCAGTCCGAGGTGAGCGGCCAGCGGCGTGCGGTAATCGATACGCAGCAATCTGAGGAAGAGTCGAGTGCTGGATAGATTTCTGGTGTGCAAGCCACACGCCGGGGAGGCCGTGGCGGCGCTCAGTGGCGGCATGCAGACCAATACGTGGAACGTGGGCACGCAAGCCGGACAGCTACGGTGACAGATCATTGATGAACCGCTGCTTTTTCTTTCCTGCAGGAAGGCTGGCGTTTGCATGGCTTCTGTTTGTTCATGCCATTGCTCTTCGATTCATGGCGTCCAAGCTAGTAACTAGATAATGCTATAGCTTTTTTCTTCTTAATTAGACCCTAGATGCAACTTATGTAGATGCAAAACTGTATATACTTATGCATGCACTTCTGGTACGTGTATCTACTTCACGTAGAAAAATGCAAATAAGAAAATAGCCCAATGGTCGGGACCGATGCAATATGCAAGATACGATTCTTTCATACCTTATTAAGGATATAATTTGATCTACCTCACATACCGCGTAAGATAGTGATTAGCAGATACATACCACGTAGGGCGTTTGATATTGTCGTAGAACCGTCTGCTTGACGGCGACTGTGCATATCGACGCAGCGTAGATTAGTTGCAGAGGTAGCAGACCCATTCCGCTAACAACGTCGGAGATGTCGATGTCGTCGAAGTAATCACGTGGCGGGATGTCAACGGTACAAGTGCCGACATCAAAGATCTACAACGGCTTCAACGATGATGTCGAAGAAGAGCTTGTCGTGCTAATAACGTGTTATAAAACATGTTGCCAGCGGTTAGGATCTTTCCTCTCCGTTTCTCATGACCAACATAGTAGATAAAAGTAAAACATATAGACACAAGAGATAGGAAGATTATTCTTTATTCCTCTGAATATTGATGATTACAATATAGAGCTACCACATATATATAGTCCTATCAAGGCCTAAGAGTTTGGTAAGAGCCCATATATAAACGGACTAGTATTAAAATTCCACCTTCTCCTTTCTTGATAGAGTCCATATGTTTTATAATATTTTTTTATTTTGAGCAAACCTCGGTCCATTTCGGCGTCCTCGTGTGGAAATTACGGCGTCGTGGAGTGGAACCACGGTCAATCTCGAACTCGCTGACGGCCGTTTGACGGGGCTGCTGTTTGCCCTGCGCTGCCCGCTGTGCGTGCCTCCCACACGAGACGAGACCCCACGCCGTTGAAGCGTTCCAAACGAAGCGCGCTGGACGTTCCGGCGTACCGAGTCACAGTCACGTCTAGCGTGCCCGGCGTGCCTCGTCAGATGCTTGACGGCATGCCGCGCGCCCGGTTCCAGTCATGCCCAGACGCCAATCGGCAGCTGGATCACGCGGGCTTTCTCGTCCTCGCGAGCGTCTGGCGTCCGATTCTGTTGGTGTCCACGCGTCGCTCTCTGGCTCTACGTATGCAGCGGATGCAGTTTACATACAGGATGCAGGGAATTTTTTTTCCGGGCGGGCTTTGACTTTCAGGGACAAGTCGCGGCAGAAAACGCTTGAACTGTGTTGGGACTTGGAGTTGGGAAGGATCCAGCGTGGAACGCGTGATTAGTCCGTTGGCGAGTTTGGAAAGGCAAACGGGAGACTTGATTAGTTGGCCCAACTGCTTGCACATGACACGGGACACATCGTTTTGCTTACTCAGCCACGTTGCTCGGCTGCTTGCGACCTGCCGAGCTGCTAATTATTTTAGACGAAAAAAAATTATATTAGATTATACCTAAGTATATAATCACGTTAACCAAACTGAAATACACTACGTATATCAAAAACTAATCATTTAAATTGTACTCACGCTTTGTATAACCCTAAATCTCAACTCTAAATCTGTATGACGATTCGTATGGATGACCGTACAGGCAAACACTCGGCAAAAGGCCTGAGAACAGATGTCCAACGAACGACGGCCAACATTCATGTAGGCGAAGTGGAGAAACTTCTTCTTTCTTCTTCTTTCTGCCACCGAAGAAAGGGGAAGACTGATCTGAAACTTACTAGTCTTTCATCGTGGTCAGATCTAACCACAACAAAACGAAGAAGGGATCGGAGAAAATTATTACATGACGGCGCATCATCTCCGCCTTGATGTCGCCGTCCGTAAAGCCAAGTCTCTATGTTATCAAGCCGAGGAAGTTGCTGACGCCGTTGTCGTCCTCATCTTCAACAGAGCCGCCATGGAGAAAACGAATCCACCCTGCCCCCTCGCCATCGCCGAAAGGAGGAGGAGATAAATCCTCAGTACCAAGAACCTTGGCATGGAGAGACCCTAACCCTAAATGACTCGATCTACTAGAAATCATAAAAACGATGGATCCCCACTCCCTCCGACCTCCGACTAGATGCTGGAGGGGGAAGGGAGGGGGACCAGCGGGGGCGGCAACACTAGGGCGAGTGGGTCTGGCGAGCTGCTAATTTCTGGTTCTACAGCAGATAGAAAAAAAAGATAGGATATATCCGAAAAATCAGTCTCACCGTTGGAATCTTTTATGCGCCATCACTCTCAGCTGAGCTTTCATTCAACCTTTCCGCCGAGATATTTGGAAACTTCGTCCTTTTTATTTTCTTCTTCTGGTTTCAGATTACACGATTGACAATTATATGGCTTCATTAAATTACATATAATTTTGAGACTTCTCGAATGCGCCCTTCTTGTAAGTTTCGAATACATATATGTGTTGTGTACCTTCGTAAATTTTCCGTGACAACTTTGGACAACAACAAAAATCTCAATATTTCCCCCCAAAATCAGTTTTAAGACCATATTGTGACTTTCGAGTCTTTCACATGCCAAGGTCAGTGTGCGATAGATAGGCTAGCTTTTCAATTTCATTGCAATGCGATAAACTATCTACGGTTTCACTATATCCCTTCACATGACTCCGATTCATATGTGAAATCACCGTCCTCATTTATTAAAAAAAAATCGTCGTCCTCTTGTACAGTCAAAAGTTCAAATACTTCTGTCGCCATAAAAGAGTAGGCAGCGGTGTAATGTAAATGTCAGCAGCAAGAATGAGAGGAATGTCCGGCAGTCATGGAACAGGCGAAGGACCTCTTAATAGCATATTCAAATTCTAACTAGTCACAAGGCTATTGATGAAAATAGTAATAGTAGTACTTTTTTTTTTGCGAAGTAGTAATAGTAGTACATAACGATAAACGCTTCAAATTCATTGGTCCTGTTCGAATGGTATGGTTTTGGAGGAATTTGAATGGTTTGGAGAAATTTTGAAGAAATCTGTGAGAGAAAAATACTGTTCCAGATGAAAAAAAAGAAACGGATCAAGTCGGGTTTAAGGGCACACGAACAGAGCCATTATATATGCATTTGAACCACGAGACCCCCTCTCCACACACCTTAAAAAAAAGAGTTTATCTATCTAACACCCGAGTATTTTAGCGTCTGAAAACACCTGAATTTTTTTCCTCATGGATACTGTTCATTTTTCTCCTCTCCCCTATTCCTCCTTGGCATAAATCATAAATCACAAGCAACAAATCACAGGTAATAATTTTTTTTCCTATGAAAAGACGAAGACAAATTTTGGTGACACTGCTGGAGTTGGGGAAGAAAGAAGCTCACCGAAGTTAGGAAAGATGCCAGGCGTGGTCAGGCGCAGCCGCGGTGGCGGCGCGGCCACGAACGGGCGGCGCGGCGGCGCAGGTGCGGGCACGGGCGGGGGCGCGGCAGCGCAGGCGCAGGCGGTTGCGAGCGCGGCGGCCACGGCTCAAGAAATCATGTGTTCCCGGATGCTAAAACAGCCAGGTGTTATACAGCGTTACTGAAAAAAAAAAGGAAAAAAAGGGGCAGCGGCACTGCGGCAGGGCAGTGAAAAACTGAAAACCAGACACAGGCAGACAGGAAGCGGAGGCGGAGCGAGGTTTGAATTGAATCCAGGCGAGCACCGGCGGCACCGTCACGTTGGGAGGGACACGCGGCCGACGCCTCCATCCAAACTCGAAAGCCAAAGCTGCACCAGAACCTGCCTTCCCCGTCTTTTCCTTCCATCCTTCCTTCCTCCTCACCCACCACCACACCCCCCTGTTTCCTCTCGATTGTTCGTTGGTTCCTTGCTTGCCTCGCCAGCCATCCTCTTTCCTCCTCCCCCGTACCCGCCGAGTACCGCCCCACGCTGCCGCCACGCCATCGTCATCCGGGCGGCCACCCGGCCAATCGCCATTTCGCTCCGCCCGCCTCGCTTTTCCCTTCCCCCAACCACTCCGCTCGTCCCGCCTCCCGCGTCACCCGACCCAATCCGATCCTATCCCCCCGCACGGCCGCACCGCAACCCACCGGCGCCGCCCGAGATCCCGCCCCCAGGGTTCCGTCCCGTGTGATGCGCGGATCCGGCTGAGGGGCGAGCCATGCCGAGCGTCGGCGTCAAGATCTACAGCGTCTTCTTCAAGCTCTTCCTCCGCCACCGCCTCCAGTCGCTGGCCGCCGCCGCCGCCGCGGGGGACCTCGACAACGCGGCCTTCGGGGTCTCCTGCCGCCCCGACGAGGCCACCGCGCCGCCCAACCCGGCCTTCTCCGCCTCCGCCGATGGCGTCGCCTCCAAGGACCTCCACATCGACCCCAACTCCTCCCTCTCCGTCCGCATCTTCCTCCCCACGCCCCCGCCGCCGTCCCCGCACGCGCACCTCCTCTCGCACGCGCCCTCGCGCCGCGCCAGTGACCCCACCCCGACGCCCCCCGCGCCCGCCGCCGGCGCGCCGTACCGAGGGTACCTCCCGCACGCCGTCGCCTCGCCGCGCGCCGCCGCGTCGGCGCGCCGGAGGCTGCCCATCGTCGTGCAGTTCCACGGCGGCGGCTTCGTCACCGGGAGCAACACCGCCACGGCCAACGACGCCTTCTGCAGGAGGGTCGCCAAGCTCTGCGATGCCATTGTCGTCGCCGTGGGGTACAGGCTTGCGCCAGAGAGCCGATACCCTGCCGCGTTCGAGGACGGGGTCAAGGTGCTCAAGTGGATCGCCAAGCAGGCCAATCTAGCCATGATGACCAAGGTCAGGGGTGGTGTCGACACCTTCGGTGCATCCACTGTTGAGCCATGGATTGCTGCACATGGTGATCCAGCTAGGTAAATGATACTGATCCTCCTGTCCTGTTTATATAGCTGCATAAATGTGTGCTAAACTTTACTAATTGATGAGGCAAGGGAAGGGAGCATGAATGTGTGCTAAACTTTACTGATTGATTAGGCAAGGGTAGGTGCCAAAATGACAATGAGTGTGGGAATCCATGAATTTGTGTAGGAATCTTTTATTGCATTGCTTGAAGTTGCATGTAAAATGGTTAGTGGCCATCGGTGATTCACAACATACTTATGTTCCCTGAGAAGATTTTAATGGCTAACTCTTGATAGTTAAGCTTGGTCAACATGTCATATACGGTTATGCTGTATCACACTGTTTGCATGCACTCTAGCTGTTATTCTTTGTGTCAAAGCCCCTGTGATAAATAAGAGGCTTCTCCAAACTATGCAAATATCGTTAACCATGAATCCCTTTTTTCAATTTAACATTGGCACATGTATGATGCGAATTTAAGCTTCACTTGGCATGTGTGAAGGCTTTTTGTTTATAATTGTCTCGTGAACAACTTTTTGACAAAGTTTTATTTATGTCCAAGCTATGTATTGAGTAGATGACTGAAACTTTGACAGAACTAAGTCTTGTATTTCATGTAATTAGAACTGGAGAAGATTGTTCTGTATGTTTCCTGTGATTTAATTTAATCCCATTCATGATCCATCCATCATGGAAACAGAATCCTCTTGAATTACTGGAATGGATGGTGACGTATTGTTGACCCTAGTATTATAACTCTGTTTGCGTAACACCATATATAAGGGAGCTTCACTTGAGCAAATCCCTTAAATTCTGCTTTCCCTGGATCAATGAGTTACCGTTTTCCTGTATCCACTCTTGTGACTCTTTTGGTTCATATTAACGTTTATGCCATTGCTAAGCTACTTCATCCAGTCAGCTGTTGAAGTTCCTTTTGTGCTAACTGTTTTATATCGGTTTACTGGAATTTGACCGTATCATGTGTTCCTTGGTGCAGATGTGTTCTACTTGGTGCAAGCTGTGGTGCAAATATTGCTGATTATGTCACTCGGAAGGTGGTCGAAGATGGGAAACCATTTGACCCAGTTAAGGTTGTTGCACAAGTTCTGATGTATCCCTTTTTCATAGGGAGTGTTCCGACACACTCGGAAATAAGGCTTGCGAACTCATACTTCTATGACAAGTCCACATGTTTACTTGCTTGGAGATTATTTTTGTCAGAGAAAGAGTTCAACCTAGACCACCCTGCTGCCAACCCTCTGGCGCCTGGCAGAGGAGGTCCCCCATTGAAGTGCATGCCGCCGACCTTGACAGTTATTGCCGAGCATGACTGGATGAGGGATCGAGCAATTGCTTACTCTGAGGAACTCCGCAAGGTTAATGTTGACTCGCCGGTTCTTGACTACAAGGATACAGTTCACGAGTTTGCAACCCTGGATGTGTTCCTAAAAACACCACAGGCACAGGCCTGTGCCGAGGATATTGCCATATGGATGAAGAAATATATCTCCCTCCGAGGGCACGAGTTCTCATATTAGCTGTAGCAAAAATCATGCATTGTGAAATAGGCCCTTTACAGGGAAGCGTCAACGTGTTCTTTTCAACTGGTGGAAAGAGGGATGTTGGATTACAGTCGGGTAACCAGTTAGCTTAATGTGAGTACTGAGTCCTTCAGTGATTTTTGTGGAAGAATGTAGTGTGCAAAGTTGTAGACTGTAATCAAAGGATACTCTTCCCCTTGGAGAGCTCAATTCTTTCATTCCTTTTTGTACCCTGTGTATTATGGAATTACTGGTGCTTGAGGTTAGCATTTTTTTGAGGAAATATCAATCTCAGTTGTCACAGTTGTGAAGCGCAGCTTCACACAACGACATGTAACCTGGTCGTTCGTATTGTTCCGTGTAGCGTATATCGGCATACATCCTTTTTGCATTTCCATCGGATTTTATTACGGTATTACCTATATTGGTGTGCACAAGGTCTGGTATTATTTGAAGGCTTGTCCGTTTTGTAAGCTTCACAAATGTTTACTGAAAGTGAGTTTTGTTTGTATGCCAAGTTTTCATCCAGCTATCAACTTTAATTTCCAAAGTCGTCTTAAAGCAAAACCTGTAAAAGACGTGTTCGTGCTTGCACCAACAGACTTGAAGTTCAAGTTCTTATTTCTAACTTCCTGTACAATCTTGCTTAATTCACGTGCTCCGACATTATTAGCTGAAAGCTTGAAAGTACTCTAAGGTTAGGAAAAGACGGTCCGAGCAGAATCTAGGGACGTCTTTTGTATTCCAGCTTAACTAAAGGTCAAACAAATGATGTCCGAAATCAGAATGGCACACAGATCAGACTTGTCAATCTTATGAAAAAAAGAAAGAACTCACGACAATCAGCTGACCTTCAATAGCTACATTCAAAAAAGAAAAAAGAAAGAAAAAAAACTCTAATGGTTACATCATAAATGATCCCTCACAAACTATTCCTTGTTCTGCTCTGAATAAAAGGTCGGACTGATGGTTCTCTTCCTAGGTAGTCGGTTATTATCTCCAGGGGATCTTTTGAGCCTCCTGGAGCCAACACCTGCAGTGATGTAAACATTTTGTAACAATTCACATGAGCATGCAAGGAGGGCATTAGCAATTACCTTATTTCTGAACTGCAATCCAGCATGCTGATTGAGCAAGTCATCTTTAAATTTTGATACAAAAAGATCAGCAGCAAACACCTGCATAGTTCAGATGAAAGGGTTTTTCCTACTCTCTCCAAATAAATGATGGAAGCAATATGGCTTAGGATTTGTATTGCTCAAACCTCACTCCATATGTAACTGTAGCACACAGCATCATAGCCAAAGGCAATACGAGGAAAACTTGAAGCTGGACTGGTCCCTTCCAATAAAGGTATGCCCAACATTACCTGGAAAAGGAACATTTGCCTTAATTGTCATCATAAGTACTCCCTCCGTCCCAAATTATAGGACGTTTTGTCTTTTCTAGGTAGTTTTTGCTATGCACCTAGAGATACGTTGTCTAGATACATAGAAAACCCAAAACGACGGAAAGGATTATGCTAGACATTAAAGCAGTCATTTCAAGTGTACCTTGGGGTGAAGATCCTTGATTAAGTCATCAATGTCCACATTCTCACTTGAATGTATTATCTGATCAACAAGGCCTAGTAAAAGTGAAAACAATACATAAGTTACTACGTTGAATACAAATTTCTTACTAATTAATAAACATGAGCTAACAACAGGATACAAATCCGGCTGTCCATAATTGACAAGTACCAATTAGGTTGATTTGCCGGAAGCAAATTAACAGCATATCAGCAGGAACTTATTTCAGAGAATAAGTAGGAAAAGTGGAGTAATTTGTGCTACCAGTATCTACTAGCATAACAGTGAGTGGGCAGATAATTAGTACATACTCCCTCCATACTCAAAAATGAAGTTGTTTTGGACAGCGACACGGTCTCCAAAACATAACTTTGACTGCTTATTTTTATAAAGATATTTATCAAAAAGTGATATATGTAAATTTTTGTGGAAGTATTTTTCAAGACAAATCTATACATATGGTTTTCACATTTCCAAACTCAACAACTTAAAAGTTATTCATGATTTATATTCCCAATGTTTGACCCAAGCCTTGTCTAAAACGACTTCATTTTTTAGTATGGAGGGAGTACTGTTTATTGAAGTAAAAGAATTAAGTGGTGAAGACATGAAAAGCCAGCCAAATTCAGGTGGCTGGTGTCAGTCAAACTGTATTATGACCGCAACCTCATTATTTTTTGTTGGAGTTTCAGAGCTAGATAACATTTAAGGACCAATAATCTCACTCCATCTCATTTGGTAGGTAGCGAAATGACTCACACAAAAGTATCTCTTGTTTCATTTTCAGGCCAGCAAACAAATCACGCCTTCTTTTCAGAGATTGGCAAGCTTCACTGGTTATGGATTTCGTAATGTCCTACAATGATAAAAACAGAGAAAAATTTTAGCACTAATTTAAACAAGTCTCAGAAGGCTCACAAGAACTTATCAAACTATCAAATAATTATCATAATGCAGCATTAACATGTTTTTGGTGTGTCACTAAGTTCACTCTATGCAAAAACAAAAGTATTGGTTGGTCTCCGGATTATATACTCTAATAACCAAGGATTCATCACCCATTCACCCAAGCAAGGTCACAAATATCGTTTTTATTCATGAAATTGGTTCCATCTTCTAGACTGACCAGACATTATTTACCAGTTTTGTTACATCTTTATTTTTTGTTCTTGAAAATATGCAAAGTAGGATAATAATTCCAACATTTTTTTACACCACCTGATGGAAGCCGGACATCATTTTCAGAGAAATACTCTCATAGCACCTGAGATAACAAAGGTTGCATTACATATCAGAAACATTAGCTTCCAATGGATTAAATGAGTCTTGGTAATTGGTATGTTACTGAAGAAAAGAACTATGCCTACCAATTCTCGAGTAGCAGGCTTGGAATTTCAGCAAAGTCACCCTCCAGTCGAAGACCTGAAAATCTTGAAATGGTGGCTCTGTTGGATACGTGATGGACCTGCAGGATAATGAAATCAGTGCCTCTATTCATTTAGTGTCAACAAATGCCAGGATATTTATACTTTATCAGAATCCAATAGAGAAAGTTGATATCAATACCACATGGCTAAATTCATGGAATAGCCTCACGACTTCAGGGAACCGCAGCAATGCTGAATTACCATCAAACTCTATTGGACACTGAGATAATATCACAGCAGCCGGAACCTGTCAGCAATCATCCAATAATTACAGCATGAAATAATTAACCACTCAAGCAGGCTACAGAAGTACTTCCCAAATATTATATAGATATTGCGAGTTTGTGAGAAGTACTTTTGAACTTTTAACAATTTTATTGTATTATATCACCTAGTAAATTTGCTTCAATGCATAACCTTTGTGGTTACACAAGAGAATGCATAATTTAATCATTTGAACTACAGTGATTCTAACAACCAATTCATACTCTGATTGCACTATATAATATGCATGAGATTTTCGAGTTACCTTACGTGTACCATTAGAACATAAGCATCCATTCTGAAGTGTCACAACGCAAGTGTGGGCATACTTTCCTTCCCTGTGAAGCAAAATAGGGTAGTCGATTAAAACAACTCTGCTTTATGTGTATGACTTTCAGCATTTGTATCCAATCAAACATGTTTTCCATATCATGAAACCTTAAAAATCATTCAAGCTTCGCCTGCATGCTTTCAGAACAAACCTGGAAAAGATATCAAGAAAAAAGTAACCCAAAAGATCACTTGAACTTGCATCCCAAACAGAAAACAGACGAACTGTATCATGCCAAACATCAACATCCTTAATTTCGTCGAATCGTAGTGCTTCATGAAAGGAAAAAAAAGAATTAGCAGAAAATATATTTGTGCTCATATCTTATAAAAATAGAGGTTGCTAGTGCTGTAGTGCATTAGTTAATGGCTATCATTTTACCAAATAGATCCTGAAACATCTTCAACATTCCAGATATGACCAGGCTAACAGGGAAGTATTGTTTAATTTCACCAATGTCAAGATCAACCTTGAATTCTTCAGCTCTTTTGAAGTAGTACAACAAATCTTCCATTCCAAACTGAGCATTTCCTTCCTCCTTGATCTGAAATCAGAAAATCGATAGCAATAATTTGATTAGTAATGAAAGAATTTGATCTATGGAAAAATTAGCAGAGCAGAAAGGAGCTTTCTAAAAACCTTGAGGTCTTTGAGTATGCTGAGCTCTCTATTAGCCACATCACTTAATTGTTCAGACATCTCTTCCAAAAACTCTAAGACCTGCAGGAGAAAATACTTTGACATTTGTCGTTTTCCTAGTGTGAAAGTGAGCATGAAAGAACATTTTGCCGGTGAGCTGACTAGACCAGGATTGAGATTCTTTTCCTAAGTTTGATATTGAAGAACATGTTTCACCAAGCAGATTTAGCTAAAAAGAAAAAATCAAGCAGATTTCCTGGCATAAAAGCACAGACCTTCCTTGAAGTCCTTGGCATTCTGGGCTCAATAGCAAAATCAGCATAGTTGGTGTACCCCAGTAATTTAGCAAACTTGTGTCTTAGCTGAACCTGAATAAACATAGAAGATGAAACTGCAACATGTCAGTTCCAGGGCTCCTGCCTACACTGAAACCCTTGCAAAATAATCGAATGTAACGGATACTATATGATAAGGTGAAATCAGCTATAGAAAACACCAATTACTATGAAGTTACAGTGCAGATGGGCATTTGTGGTTACCAAATTTTCTAGGATGGCTAGATTATCCTTCCCACCTTTCTGTCCATAAGCAACAGCAATCTGCTTCCTGGTAGAGCCAACCTTGAGGAGATGCAACTAGTTGACATCAGTTCATACATAACTTGAATGCATAAATATAAATTGCAATTGGTCAACAGCATACTTTCTAGCATAAAGAAAATAAGAAAAAAGAGTACCCCACAACATACATTATTACTAGATATCCATGTCAAATCAGTGGACAGAGCTCATAAAGCAGCCAAGTGACTATTAATCGTAGCTATGAAATGTGCAGTTGTGTGATAAAGCGTAAGACCTTGCAGTGCTCAAGAATTGGAGTAACATGGTAACTGGTCAACGGAACCTTAAACTTCCCATCAGCCTTTTCCAGATCCTGAGTTGAAGAGTTTGAGTAAAAGAGGATTAGAAAGCAATAATATCATATTTTTCATTCACTCAAACTTCTGTTCAAGCACAAAGTAAGCAAAGATTACTGATCCATCTAAGGATTGTTTATTGTACAGTATGCTTGATTCAAGCTTACTCTCTAGCTTACCTTTAGGAACTCAAAGGGCATTCCAGCTAGCTCATCCTCACCTAAAAGAAGGAATTTGGTGAAATCATTCAAATTTTGGAGATACTTCAGGTTTAATGCATCTATATGAGATTTCAATTTCTCCATTTCTTTTCTCTTGTTTTGAGATAGTTTTACTCCATTATGCTCAAACTCTTTCACCTGTTCAACCATAATTAGACAATTCAGCAAAACGACACAAATTAGTCAAACCAATTTGCAAAATCATCTTAATACAAATTGCAAATAATACAATAGTAAGACACATCACATATCTTTCAGTAAGTTTACAATCAATTAATTCTATGGTTTATTTTCAGCTTGATGCACCTTAATTAATTAAAAAAGGTCATATTAAACTTTTATATGCTAACAAAAAGAAATTCAAGTTCAAGAAGAATGAGGCGATGGGTACTGAAGACGCAAAGACACATCAATGTAAGAGAACATGCAGTATATGAGCATCTTACGAGACCAGTCAGGAGCCAGATTATACCTACATGATGTATGTTCATATTGAAATAGATAAGGATACAAGTATACAGCAGTTATAGCAAAATGATATTCAGGGTTAAAGCATTAACAACAAATCATCACATGTATAAACATTCAGTTGTTGGTCAGAATCAGAACATTGCGATCAATTTCACATGTAGCGAAAGAATTCTGTACCAAAAACTGAAGAAATCTTGTTGCTTCAGGACCTATTCTCTCGCCTTTCACTGCGAATGCTTTTATGACACGATAAACATCTTCACGCTGCCTGGTCACCTTGCAGGAAATAATGTTCAGCAAATTGTTGCATTGGTTGAGATAGAAGAAAGGGAACCTCACATCCTATTACTATCGTTATTCTCAAGATATTATACATTACTTCATAAACATTTACATAATACAGAACATGCATTACTTCATAGATTTTACAAAAACAACATGATCAATGGGCCACTGAGATTATGTCACAGATGCTCACCAGACCAAGCAAATAATATGAGTAAGAGTAACACAGATACCAAGCTACAAGCTATTTGCATTTTTTTGTGTTTTACATTACCAGTTCATGTTAGTTGACAATGGTACCTAATCCTACACTATTATCAGTTAGGGAACATACATTACTACTACATCCAAGTGAATGATAAGAAATAAGTCGCAACATTGCACCTGCACAGCACAAAGTGGGAATCCAATAGCTTCTCTGCTTCAGCACTTGCCTTGCGAACATCCTCAGATGGTGATACCATCCTAGGAAGAACACAAGCTTGAACCAGAGGAAATTGCAGTGCATCTAATTCTGCCAATGGTGCAATGACATTTGCAAAACTGACCTACAAAATACAGCATGCAACTGTTAGAAAATTCTCCAGATCTGAGACCTGTATACACTCATTGCAAATTGTATTTTTCTAAGAACCAGCATGCTGCAAACATATGTATACTTCCCTACAACTATATGGTTGTCTGAATATTATAATTATAGAAGACTATAGATCTAATCACAATCCCAAAAACCCTGTATGGGTTTCTATAAATGCCACATTCCAGAAAACAGTGCAATTAGTAAAATGCAGTGGCATAAAGAGTCGCATACATACTTTATCTAGGGGCACCGTGGCCACTGAATCATATGTTTCCTTTGACTTAGAGATGATACGGTCAGCTATTCTTTTAATCTCAGCTGCTGACAGATTGACTTGAGCAGTAAACCCTGGAAGCTCTGCAACCACTCAAAATTCAAATACACACATCGATAACTTTTCAAAATTCCATACCTAAGGGTTAACATTTAGCTTTATTAATTGTAACATTTCAAACAATAGACGCATGAATACAAAGTTCACGCGGCAAGTATATGAAGCGCTGAAGGGCAAAGCAATCAGACCGTGTTAAGCAAACACCAATCACTGTATCTATATATGCTGCATTGGTACGAGATTGAACCAAAACACTGGACGGGTCAGTGCAAGGTTGCTCAAATTCAGAGCATCAGATGGAATTTGAATTCAAACGCGAAGGCCGAGGGTTTTGCGGCCCTCACCTCGTCGTTTCCTCCGACGGTGGGCGGCGACGGCGGACAAGGCGATGTTGAGGCCGACGGCGACGAGCGCTGCCGCACCGACGACGGCGATGGCGCGCCGCTCTCGTCTCCTGGGCTCCATCCCGGAGCCCCGATGGGTTCAGGGTTCAAGAAGGTTCTGGCGAAGGGGCCGGCCGCGGGCGGCGAGGAGGGGAGAAGGTTTCCGAGTGGCGGAGTGGGCGGCGAGAGAGACAAGCGAACGGTAGCAGCGGCTGAGACAGCGACTCGGCGAGCGGAGGTCACGAAGATATGCGAGATCTGGCCGGTGGTTTCCGCGTGGACGGCTGGATTTGGAGGGAACTTTTGTACGCGTAGCCGTTTTATGAAAATCGACGTCATTTCCCTTTCAACAAGAAACTAAACCATCCAAATCCCCCGAAGAGGAAAAATGAGAAATTACGAAACACCTTCTAATCAAATCTCATCTATTATATAAATAATATATACTCAAATGGGAATTTCGGGTGAGAATCGACATGCCTACATATTTTGTTGCTACCTGTTTGTTGCTGTGTTTTTCGGACTACAACGAGTTAAGGTCCATCTGCCTCTCATTATAATAGATTTTGGTTATTTCAAATTGATGTGCAGGGCCATGTGGTGGATACAAGCTATATATATGGAACCTCAGAGGCTATCCATTGCCATGGAAGGACATGATGCAGGTAATGATATATTGAGGTTTGGCCAGTGGCCTATAGGTTAATGCTATCTGAGTTCTTCACGCTTTCTTGTATATACGATGGTTTTGTTGCATTGCACTATTTTCATGGGATATTATTGGTGCCACAACTTTTCAGTTCAGCAGTGCATTTCTACCTTCTGCAGCCTGTTCAAAAACAACATATTTATTACAGTTGATTTAGATAATGGCAGGCAAGTATACAGGAAATCCTATGGGTTGCTAATTTCAGGCAATGCACGGTTTGATTAGTTGTCCAGTCTCTAGTGCATACAAAGTCTGCGCCCTGTTTGTTTGGGCTTATTTGACTGATAAGTTATGGCTGAAAGTACTGTTAACTGATTTAGTGTGAGAGAAAATTACTATTCGTTGGTTGAAAAAGTATGACTTATAAGACAAATAAGACCAAGCGAACAGGGTCTTAAAGCCTGACGATATTAAAGGTTACACATATTAATGTCACGGGTTCTGTATTATAGCTTATTAGTTCAGGGAAATTTGAGGGCCTTCAAATAGGTGGAATCCTCTCTTTTTGTCTGCCTTGTCAGATTAGCACTCATGCTGTTGGTCGAAATATGAATTATGGTTGCGTCAATATGTATTTGGTTACTTGATTAGGCCCTGTTTACATATACAAGCTATCCATAGCTCATGAATGTATTTTACCATGTGCAACATGTTCGCTGGTTGGTTTTAACTAGAATTTATCAGTTAGTCAACCATGTTTTTCTCTCACAACAAATCAGCACCAGCTAGTTTTATTAGCCTAGAAACCAATCAACAAACAGGTTGGTGGTCTTTTTGAAACAATACGTTCCATATTAATATATTCTTTATTCTCGTGTACGATGCCGCTCAACCTAGATCTTTTTGCCCAGTACTGTTACCCACCATATGAAGTGAATGCACATCATACTGTCAAGTTAATTGCGACTAATTCGTCCAATCTGGTAAGTTATTGTCTAGCCTTGCTCCGTGACACTTCAATAGCCAATAGGTATGTTTTTCTTGCATACATACACAGGGTGTGTGCCTGCCTTTTCAGCGTTCCACCTCATTTGCTCCTCGAATCCTCCATTGTTTGCTTCTGTGAAGTTGCTCCTGGCAGTGAACAGTGCCTGTGCCAGACTAACGGCGTGTTCGCTGGTTGGATTCTGAACTAATTTTGGCTGGCTGATGCTGGTTTGTTGTGAGAGGAAAGCACTGTTAGCTGGTTGAATAAGTTTGGCTGAAACCAACAAGCGAACAGGGTGTAAGCGCCAAGATCTAGAGCCCGTTTCATGGACCTCAACATTGGTCATGTTCGCTTATCTTATAATCCATCTTTTTCAGCTTATTTTTTCATCGGAATAGTGTTTTTCTCTCACAACAAATCAACCGGGACAATGTTTCGACTTATTTTTTCAGCGAAGCGAACGAGGCCATTATTGTGCCCAGCATGTTTGATCGAATACCACTGGGTTGGATTTGTATGGGATTAGACTACAAGGACTCATTGAGTTCATGAATCTAGCACGTGATAGTTGTACATAAATGTGTAACTTTGAAATTACTTGACAACTGCATTTGTTACCTTATGTAACCAATTATTATCTATAGGCCCTGTTCGGCTGGTATTAAAGTCGGCTGATAAGCCGGCTAAAACTGTTTTATTGTGAGAAAAAATACTGTAGATTCTAACTGATAAGCTGACTGATAAGTTCAAACAAACAAGCCCTACAGGATGTTCCGAGGATCACCTATATTGCATTTGCATGTTATTGCGCAATGTTTAGCGTATGATAGGTTCACACAATGACCTCATCTATGTTACTTTTTTTCCCGAAACTTTAGTTGGGCCTAAATGGATTGTATAATATTGATCGGATGATTCAAGTTGTCTTTGGGTTGTATAATAGAAAGAACACAGGACAATTATAAACATTAGCAACATATATGTTCTCTTGGTGTTACCCACGCGCGCATTGCACCAGTACATATAGTACTCCATATAGCTCCGCGCCTTCTCAGCACCCTCGATTACTGTTGACGAACGTTCAACCAATCGGATCGCGCCGTATGCGTCTGATTTTTCGCTGGTACTTCATGCTCCTTGTAGACTCCTCCGAGTACGAGACGTCGTACTTAGAGTTTTATTTTAACCAGTCCATCAAGCTTCATCATCGTCATCATCCATTTTTTATACAAGAGCATCTCAAGAATCTCTTTAAATCTCACTCTCTAATTCATCATTTGGAGAGTCATTTATATAAAAATTGTTTTTTATATTTTTGTACTTTTTAACAGTTTTTCTATATCTCGTGCACAGTCTATAGAGTCATTCTCGTCTTCTATGTTTGGCTACCGAAAAATCCGGAATAGAAGAGAGCTATATTTGGACAATCATTTAGAAAAGCTATTGAAGAATAGTTTTTCATCAAAATCTCTATTCATAGCATTTAGGAAGGAAATAGAGTCTTCTGGGATGCTGAGGACTAAAAAGGTGGCCGTAGAATCGTCATCGTTATTATAGGATCAATCAACTCAGGTCCAATTCTGATGAATTCACGATTTTCATTTGACAGAACGGACAATCATTTACGGAAGTTGACTATTGACAAATAGAATTTTTCAAACATAAAATCTCTATCCATCCAAGGACAAAGATTTCACGCCCTTCAGCATTTGGGCCATGAAGGAAATAGAGTCTCCTCGAGATGCTTAGGACTAAAAAGGTGGCCTTAGAATCGTCATCGTTATTATAGGATCAATCAACTCAGGTCCAATTCTGATGAATTCACGATTTTCATTTGACAGAACGGTCCAATTCTAGTGATTTCACGGATTTTAAGTTGACAGAATTTGAGACAAATAGAATTGACATTGACAAACATATAATTTGTGTATTTGTGTAAATTGTAATGCACTCTATTCCAAGGACAAAGATTGGGCAACCACCCTTATCCTCTCCGCGCCTCGGCTCTTAAACCCCGCGACGCGACGGCCACCGGTCCGAAGGTCCCAAAACCGAACAAAAATGGCGACCACCCCACCGGCCGCCGCTACCTTCCTCCACCATCACCTCCCCTTTCCCAGCCTCCGCCCCAAGACACTTCTCAGACCCCGCCTCCGCCGCCTCGCCGCGTCCATCAACCCCTCGCCCCCCGACGAGACCCCCGCCGCGGACCCACCGGTCATCCCCTCAATCAGCATCAAGAACACTGAGCCCGAGGAGGTCGCCCGCCGCCGTAGTTGGGTGGAGCACGGATGGGCGCCGTGGGAGGAAATCATGACCCCGGAGGTCGCCTTTGCGCGCCACAGCCTCAACGAGGGCGAGGAGGTGCCGCTTCAGTCGCCGGAGTCCCTCGAGGCCTTCCGCATGCTCACGCCTTCCTACCGGAAGAAGGTGGAGGCTGAGCCGGGATACCTGGAGCGCCTCTTCGCGACGCGCGACACGCCCAAGCCTCTCGAGACGACGTGGGCCGGCCGGCTCCCGCTGCGGCTCGTGCCGCCGCGGGACTGGCCGCCGCCTGGCTGGGAGGTGGACCCGGACGAGCTGGAGTTCATAAGGGAGGCGCACAGGGAGGCCTCTGAGAGGCTGGACATGGAGGCGGCGGCCGCAGCCGGGGTGACCAACGTGGAGAAGCTGGAGGATGCGCCACAGGATCTGGCGCTAGACAGGTACAAAATGTTCCTGAAGCAGTACAAGGAATGGGTGGAGGCAAACCGAGATAGGTTGGAGCAGGAGTCCTACCAGGTATAGTCGAGTAACTCCAGTGATAATATTGCGATGCTTAGTGCTTACTGCTTAATTCTAATGTGGAACATCCTTTTTATGATCATCTAACAAATCATGAAGCTAGTTTTGCTTGTCATTTGTGTCCTTAATGCCGAGAGAAGATGCAGCCATCGCCTACAACTGGTGCTCTGTTCTAGCTAACGCTATGTAACAATTAAGCATACCATGTATCTATAATGTTTGTAAACTATCAGGCTGATTGAGAGCCAATGAATCAATATATCTACCAGGTGGGGGATTCTCTCCCCTCCCGTCGAATTATAAAAAAAAAATGTGTGCTTAATTGAATAGAATTACTTTGTGTCTGTCTTGCCATCCCGTCGAGTATTTATAGTGTTCCTCTGCGATCATGTAATGTTAAACCTGGGCTATTTCCATTGTGCAGTTTGATCAGGATTACTTCCCTGGCAGACGAAAAAGAGGTAAGGACTACAGTGAAGATATGGTAGGTTCAGCTCTTGAATGAGTCCCATACATTTTGTGATCCGTTTCTTTAAGGTACTGATGTATTGTTTGCTCTGATGCAGCATGAACTTCCATTCTACTATCCTGGACAGGTTCTGTTGGAACAACTCTACTTCATTTTTTTTTTCTCTTAGCTAGTCCATTTCATTCTAACCATTTTTTGCATGGCTTGATGCTCTTGCAGATCTGTTACGGGCAAGTAACGACTGTTCACCTCTATCAGGGAGCCTTTGTGAACATCGGTTGTGTCCATGAGGGGTATGTACATTGAATTCTGCTGCATGACGATGAGCCTAATGTACTTAATTTAGCAAAAGGCAGACCATGAATGATTATCCCAACTCTCTCCTTATTGTAGGCTAACACAACTTTTTTTGTTTATGGCATACTACAAATTGTGCCTTCCCATGCACATGTCTGAATTTTGGGTGTCATGTTTTCTTGTTACCATACCTTTTTTCTGCTGTGTGTACTGGAAACTGCCACACTTCAGATTATTAAGCACGCTTGAAAACTAGCACAGAACATTCAACACATAATCTAGATCCAATTAGCACTCTCCACCTTTCAGCAATAGACAAGCCTGGCAAGCTTCTTAATTTTGCACTTGTAGCCTTGTAGGATACTCCTCTGTCTTTTACCCTAGATTTTTAATTTAGCTTAGTTGCTAAGACATCATCTGCTATTTACCTTGTTGAAATTTACAACTTGTGATGCTTTTAGGTGGGTGCCGATAAAAGGAAATGACTGGTACTGGATCCGGCATCACATCAAGCCTGGCATGAAAGTCTATGTGGAGATTCTGGTAAGTGATCTTGCGAAATCCACATGTACAGTGAGTGGTTTAAGGACATCTGGTTTCAGTATTATAAAGGAAATGCCTTTACATTGACTAAAGTGCATCTTTTGTTCATTCTCTCATTTTTTTAGAACATTCTGTACACATGGAAGTCTATGCATCTTAAGTAGATCGGCTTAAGTAATATCTATCAATTTCTGTGCAGGCCAAACGAAACCCTTACCGCTTCCGCTTCCCACTTGAGATGCGATTTGTATATCCTAACATTGATCACCTAATGTGAGTACCACTATTGTCATTGCTTGCTTAGTTCTGGTAATATGAATATTAATGCCAGTTGCCGTATCCCGTGCTTCAGTTTATTCCAATGTGATATTTCCTTTCTGACTGCAGATTTAATAGATTCGACTTCCCACCAATATTTCACCGTAAGGAGGATACTAACCTAGAGCAGTTGTGGGTGCGAATTAACTTCTATTTGGTTCAGTTTTCTGCTATTTGTTTTAGATCTTATACTGGTGTGTCCATCTAACCTTTTTATGAACTGACAGCGTGAAGCTGGACGGCCACCCATTCCTAGGAAAAAACCTTTAAAAGATATGGAAAAGGAACCTTTGGTATCAGACCATCCTTTTGTTGATACGGTATTCTCCATGAATCACAATCATATGCCTCATGCTTCGTATATATTATTTTGCATCATGTTGTGGCTTTTGCATCTTAGTTTCTTGCATTCCCATCAAATAGGTTTGTCAGTTAAGTTTCTTCTTTTTTGCAGCTTTGGGAATGGCATAATGCAGAGCAGATGATTTTAGACTACGAGGAACAAAATCCAGATAAATTCAAGGATACAACATATGAGTCCACAGTTGATGCATCCTCAATCGATGAAGAAAACAGAGTTGGATACACTGAAGGATATTTCAAAGAAACACTGCTAAAAAAGAAAGTTGTGGTATGTAATCTTTGTAGCCCCTGATTACCATATTTGGATCTTTGCAGCTTGTTAGTTGCAAATAGATTTATCCCCTAATGGCATCCTGCTCTGAACTCTTTTGTTAGAATATAAGCGTCAAAGAACTTGATCTGGATGCTGCTCGTGCTGAACGCCAGGTACCTCTTTTTACATACACTGACAATATTTCTTTAACCTTTCGCCATTCCATACTGAAATTTAATTGGCGCAGCTAATAAAAAAGCTGAAAAAGGAAGCCGAGGAAAGAGGAGAGGAATACAAAGTTGGGAAGCTCCGACGAAACAAAGAAATGGATGAGTATGATCTGATGCAGTGGCGTCGTTCATTTGAAGAAAGGGAAGCCCTTATCAGAGACATCTGCTGGTAAATCTATTACCTGTACAAATTTCACCGCACCTAGTGCACAGTTTGCTAACTCCTAAAGATTTGCAGTCGGAAAGCACTTGGTCTTCCTATCGAGGAGCCCGGGCGATATGACGTAGATGAGACAGAGGTCTATGGGAAGGATTATTATGACCCGGAAAAGCCAATGTACCGCTATGACTACTGGGGAGAACCCAAGAACACCGAGAAGACTAAGCTGGAGCGGGACGTGGAGCGCCACAACCAACAGGTGGTCGGCGACGCGAAGAAATGGTGCGAGATGTCGTATGATGACTATGTCCGCAAGAAGCTGCGGTTGGAAGCAGCTGAAGCGAGGGAAAGGCAGAGGAAGGCGTCCGAGCCGCAAGAGGATGAGGAGTATGATGACGGCATGGACCTGGACTTGAAGAAGATGACCGATCCTCGTGCCCCGCACAACCGGTTTTACATCACGAAATGAAATGTTAGGCTTGCCACGGGTTAGATGTTGTTGTTGGTTGCGCAAGAGATGTGAATATATATTTTGGTAGCATTAGAGTTTGCTGGCTTGATTGGCGGGTGTTGGGTCGGCTCTCGTTGCAGCCAAAAGCCCATATAGCACTATAGTAGAAGCTGGAGATGCTTGTTTGCCTGGTCGCCTGTTCAAAGTTGTGATTTGACAATTTTGACCGTGATGTTCTTCTGATCAATGAGAATTTCCACTGGTAGACGTTTAAAGCAATATTTCAGTCAGCTTGTCTAAGTGAAAACGCACATAACTGGATGATTTTTGGATGGTTTGCAACTTGAGCTTATGTTTATATAGGACTGAAACAAAGAAGAGAATGATGTTAGTTGGGACTGGATCTATGGGCGTGTGTTGAACAGAGAGCATAAAACGGGGTCTAACGTTCTACTTGTCGACCTAACCATGCACTCGAAAGTCGAACCCCATTCCGGCTGTGCGACCTGATCAAACGCCGGGCGGGCGAGCTACGCTCTCACGTCGCGATTAGGATATCAATTCGTCAGGTTTATGCGTGAAGCTTTGTGCAAGTACTATCATGAATGTTGCGTGGCAGCAAATGTCTTGTCCGCGCAAGATTATTGGCCCCGAGCACCACGTCCCTGTCTATCCCTCCCGTATGCACCTACCGTATCCAATCCGCATGCTAGATTGACAGTTGCGCTGTTTGTTTCGCATGCATGAATCAGGATCTGGTGGCATCTAAATGGGCAATTCAGAGATACTCCTACTCCGGAACTTTTTTCTTTTGAGATCTCAAGGTTTCCAATCTGCAACATGCCTGCTAGCCGCCAAAGCAGTGTCACCGTCTTGGCACCGTAAGCCGAGCTGCCGAGGGTCCGTCGCTTCTTGTTGTATTCCCAATCACGCAAAGCGGAGGGACGTGACAGCCCGGCCGGATCTACCGGCCAGAATAAACGTACAGTACGCTAAGGCCGCGTTTAGTTCGTCCGACTCTGCGCCGCCTGAAACCAGAATAAAATCGTTGATTAATTAGATTTAAAACAGAAAAAGACAACGCTGTACAATTAATTTTGATTTCGTCAACATTTGGACCAAAGTTTAATGTGATGGCCAAAGTTTGAAAATTGAAGAAACTAAACATGGCCTAAAACAATTTGGACCAATGGCAGAAGCTTACCACGGTCCACGGCAGCTAGCTCTTCCTGCATCGCTCCGTGCCTCCGTGGGCGCAAGTCGACCGATCGGCATATTCGCCAGCAGGCTTCCGTTTTGATGCCTCCCTCCCCCTTCCACTCCAATCAGCAGCTGAGCTCTCCCCCGCGCCGGCACACCCAAATAAATCCGAGGAGTATCTGCCTGGCTAGTTGCTGCTCCTTCCTTCCCTCCAAGAGCAGAGCAGCAAACAAATCCGGGGGCGTCCTGCAATAGAATACATCAGCGGGTTGCCGTCGCCGTTGGTGCGGTGCGTGAGAGCCCGAGCCCCGAGCCGTGCGACGCAGCGCAGGCAGGGACCAGGGAGAGAGAGAGACGAGAAGGAAGCGAAGCGAAGGAGGAGCTTTTTAGCGAGCGCGGCCGCGGATCGCGGAGGCTGTATATATAGTCCAAGGGCGCGCGCTGCGGTCCGGTAACGTGACGTGCTGCAGGGGGGCGCAGGCAGGCAGGATTAGGCAGGGCAGCGCCGCGCCGGCCGGACCGCCCGTCCAGGAGCCAGGGACTTTCGTTCGGCCATGGGGGACGGTGGTGCTGACGACGCCTCCTCGCCGCCGCCGCCCGGGGGCTTCTCCTACCTCGTCGTCTTCCACAACTACCCCCTCGTCGCCGCCCTGCTCGGGTTCGCCATCGCGCAGTCCATCAAATTCTTCGTCACATGGTACACGCCTCGCTCCGTGCCCCGATTCCCTTCTCCTCTCTTCTTGAATTCACCCGCCTCGCGTCCCCGTCCGTTGTGTTTGGGTCTGGGATCGGGCGCGAGAGTATCCGGATCCGCCTGCGGTTCCGACGGTCAAAGCTGCCTCTTGACATTGCTCGACTATTCCGTTTCCTGGACATCCGAAACGTGCTTAAGAATTTGTCCCTCCTATTTCTTTTATCTTTGCCTATACAGCTAGAGGAATGAATGATGATAGAGTGGGAATGTAATAGCATCCTATATGCTGGATTTGCTTTCATTTCTTGATGGTTTTGGTGAATTGAGCTGGAAGCAAATGGAATTGGCCTTGATCTGGTCAAACTATGTAAGAATTGTGGGCCAGTGCATTTTTTTTATGGGGCGTCCTTTGGACTGGAATTCATTGATCATTGATGGAGCGCAGTTTGCTGGTTATGTACACCACATTTGATCTGTCCTGGTAACAGTATGACCTTTGTCTGTGGAATTCACATATGATGCTGTCACATTTTAAATTTTACAGAAATGCTATACAACACACATGTGTTTTAACGCAAAAAAACACATGGATTTTTTTCTCTCTTCTTCCCTCCGTTCTGCAACAGAAATGCTATACAACGCACACGTGTTTTAACGCAAAAAAACACATGGATTTTTTTCTCTTCTTCCCTCCGTTCTGCAATGGATCCGGCTCAACGTGCAACTCTCTGACGCTGCGTTCTCTGACACGCACGCGGTCTGTAGCGGATCTGGCTACAGTAGCCTCTCATCCTCCTCCTCTACTGTGATTTGTCCTTCCATAGAAAAAAATTGTTTCCTGTGATATGTGGATCTGTGACTTGTGATTGTCTGGAGCCTGTTGGATCTTAATTCTATGGTGCAAAAAATTCATGTGTTAAAACTGCATAAAACACATGATTATTAGGTAGACAGACTCAAATTTTATGTTCCATTCAGGAAACCTTGATCATTCTATACCAGAAATATATACAGGGAGAAACAGGTTGATGCTTTTTTTAAGAAAACAAATTATCCACAGTGATTGTGGACCTTGTTGAGTTCAATCATCTGATTTCCGGATAGATGGTCATGTAACTCTTTCAACAGTGAAGCCAATGAACACAAAGAGTCCTTATTATGTTTGCACATGAGAATGAGAATGACCTATTTGGTTTGTCTTATAACAGTGCAGCCTGGCTTAGGACCCCAGTGGGATCTTTATTTTGGCAAAAGGATGATTATGCATCAAGGGCTCTTGCTTCTTTTCTCATATTTTTTCCACAGTTTTGATGTAGATAGATACATCAGCATGCATTTTATGGAAGATCAGCTATAACTTTGTGGTTCAAGTCTGAACAGGTGTTTATACAGTTTCCCATGCTGCAGTAAGTTTGATTTGTTCTTGTTTTTAAACAAAGGTACAAGGAGAACAGATGGGATCCCAAGCAGCTTATCGGCTCTGGTGGCATGCCATCATCACATTCTGCCACGGTTACAGCACTAGCAGTAGCGATTGGATTCCAAGATGGCTTTAACTGCTCCCTCTTTGCAACAGCAACTATATTTGCAAGTGTGGTAGGTTATCAGTTCTCCATCCCAACCCATGTTCCTTCAGAAGAGGTTTTACTTCTTGAATCTTGATAGAAGAAAAATGATCATTTATATTGTTGTTGCTTGGATGCAATTTTCAGTTTTGGGTTGGACGTTATTCTGTTGCATGTGGGCATATTGTGCACACGTTTATGCTGACTTCCTTTTGGTTAATTCCAAATTTTGAGGTCTCAGGAATTTACTTTTTGTGACTTGGCAGGTAATGTACGATGCTTCTGGTATCAGATTGCATGCTGGAAAGCAAGCAGAGGTATATAATAACTCTTTGCATGCCATCTGTACTGTTGGTTCAATAGCCTTTCTATATTGTTACATTACAACCTTGTGATAGATCTCTATGTATTATCATGACATTAGTGTTGTGCTTATGTTGAACTTAACTTGTTTTCTCCAATTTTTAGGTATTGAATCAAATAGTATGTGAACTTCCTTCTGAACATCCCTTGTCTGAAACAAGACCACTACGAGAGCTTTTAGGCCATACACCAACCCAGGTTTGTTCAAATGTCCTTTTTATTGTTTTTGAGAGTGCATTTTATTGTTGTTGGCAAAATGAAAACGATGTCTTATTGGCATTATGGTTATGTGGATACCAAGTGAACCTCAAACTGACCAACCCCACATCACCATGCCCTCATTTTACTTGGCAACATATGTAGATATTCTTATCTACTATCAACATCATGCAGCTTCGTCAGTACCGCTATCTTCTTGCGGCATACATTTATGAATTACCATTTTTATGTGTTCCTAATTTCTTGGGTGCCAAATTGGTCCCAGGTGATTGCTGGCGCATTGCTTGGGTGTACGATAGCCACAGCAGGACAATTATTCGTTTGAACTCCGAAGGTGCAGCAGAAATGTTGTAGCATTTTTTGTATCGCGGGGACTTGAGAAGAAGTTTCTCTAGTGTTCTGCTACTTTAGGTATTGGTAAGATTTGCAACTTGGTGCTGTAGTGTTGTTGAATGTTGTAAGTTCTGATGGAAAGTGATTATATGTCAAGGTGATGTTCACAGGTTTGTTGTACAGAACATTTGTTCAGTAATGTCATGGTTATGATTGATGAAATCTAAAATGTGATTAGAACAGTGATGATTTGTGACGACTAATTTGTTGTCATCGTTCGTTGGCTCCCATGTGGAGCTGATTTTTTTTCTTTAGTATTTATATTTAAAATCATACTGCATGTTGTACGCTGCAAGGACTAATCTTACGCTAATTTCCCATGAGGAGCTGGTTTTTTTCTTCAGTATTTATATTTAAAAACATACTGAATGTTGTACGAAACAAGGATTAATCTTACTCTAGTTTCCACTATGCTTTGTGTAATTCTGAAGCAAACCCAGAATAACTGCACAGCTAAATGGTCTAGACTCTGGACAACACAAACATTTGATTAACACTTCTCATAGCAGATTGCCAGTAACATAATCACAATAGAAGATGGGAGCTTATCTCATAATTAAGCTTACCACTAACATAATCACAAGAGAAGATGGGAGCTTTATCTCATAATTAAGCCTACTATATTTTCTATACCATTGCATATACAGAAGATAAATTGTCTCGTGACCTTGGTCATGCTCTAAGTGATACTGATGCCTTTCTGTATGAGAGTGCTGTCAGAGCCCTTCAGTATCTAATCTTGACACGGCTGGACATTTCCTTTGCCATCAACAAAATCTGTCAGTTCCAATCTCGACTCATTGATGTTACTGTGGGGCTGTGAAGCAAATTCTGCGATATATTAAAGGGGTCATTGATCATGGCTTGACGATTCAAAAGTTCAGTTACTCTCCTAGGACCATTTTTACTGACACCAATTGGGCTGGCTGTGTCGGCGCCACCGATTTGAGCTCTGGTTCTGGGGTGAAATCTATCATGCGCATTCATGGGCTCATGGCAATGAAGCAACCTGAGAAGACCATGCAACATAAAAAAGGAGAAGGTTGATCCAACAAACGGAAATGCTCCCTACAGGGTGTCTGAACGGACAGGCGGACCGCACCGCCCCGCGCCCGCCTATGCGCTGCGCACCACACGCCCCAGCCCGCGCCCCCACCCGGAGTTGCGCCTCCTGCTGCGGCTGCGCTCCATCCGCCGGCGAGATGCCCGCGCCGGGCCTCCGCGCCGCCCTGAGCTCCATGCGCCGCCGACCACCTCCGCACCGCCGCGAGCCCCCGCTCGGAGTCGCGCCTCCTGCCGCGGCTGCACTCCATCCGCCGGTGAGATGCCCGCGCCGGACCTCCGCGCCGCCACACCACCCGAGCTCCATGCGCCACCACCGACCTCCCCGCCAACGTCGAGCTCCGCATCGACGAACCTCCATTCGTCTAGGCAGAAAGGTGACATTGCGCTGAAAGCGCATGTTGCAAGTGTATGTTTCAAGTGTTTCGGATGTTTCAGAGGTATGTTGCAAGTGTTTTATATCGATATTACAAAAGTAGATCGGGATGTTGCACATGTTACAATGGCTATACACGCATGTTTCAAGTGTATGTTCCAAATGTTTCATCTGTTTCAGACGTATGTTGCAAGCATTTTCATCTAGATGTTGCAAAAGTAGATCTAGATGTTGCATATATATACACACACAAGTGTTTCAAGTGTTTTCATACGTATGTTGCTAGTGTTTTCATCTGGATATTGCAATGTTTGCCATGGCTGCACACGTGTTTTCAAGTTTTTTCTGATGTTTTGCAAGTGTTTCAGACATATGTTGCAAGTGTTTCAGCTATTTTCGGACATATGTTGCAAGTGTTTCATCTGAATATTGCAAAAATAGATCGTATGTTGCACATGTTGAATGGAACCCACTTGCCACAACCGCCTGCTGCAGTCGCTGGGCGCCGTCGAGTGGGAAGACGATCCTCATGCGCGGTCGGGCGGCGTGGGCCATGCGTGGGCACGCGTGAACGAGCAGGCGCGGGAAACGGGCTAGCACGCGCAGGCGGCGCGCTAGCATCTCCTACCCAACAAACACAATGAAAGCTTTTTATACATTTCTTTTCACACGAGATTTATAATAGAAAAATGTCTTTCATTATCACCCAAACCTAATAGAAGCTTCCTATACACTTATGTTGTATAACAAATAAAAATCTATATCTATACCTAATAATAATAAAGAGGTAAAATTTTCGGTCATTTTGTTTGTCCATCCATTTTTTTCGTCCACCTTTCTCTAACTATCGGTAGTCGAGAGTTTCTTCCGTCTAGACCCTAGATAGTTAGGACAAATAGATCTCTCGAGCCTTAATAAACTGAATAGGAATATGAATCATAATTCAAATAGAAAATAAATTAGATAAAATCTTATTTTACTTTATATATAGCAAAGCATCTCTTTCAACCCGGCTTTTACTTCCCATAACTATAATAATAACATAATAACACTAATAATAAAGAGGCCAAATTTTCGCCTCTTTTTTGTCCCGCTAGATATATGCCCGTGCGTTGCATGGGGTCTCGAATTTTTTGTGTGCATATATACAGCAGATATGTTCAAGCTGACAGTGAAGCCCGGCAAGAAATACATGCTCTGGCTCATCAACGCCACACTCAATGACGAGCTCTTCTTCTGCATTGCCAACCACACGCTCATCGTCGTCAACGTCGACGCGCTGTATGTCAAGCCCTTTACTGTGGACACCCTCGTCATCGCGTACGGGCAGACCTGCAACGTTCTGTTCATCTACACCAAGCCGATGTACCCCGGCGCGAGGCACTACATGGAGGCGCGGCGGTACACCACACGTAGGGCACGTTTGACAACACCACCATCGTCGGCGTCCTTGATTACGAGGACCCCAACCCCTTCGGCTCTTTTACTCCAGCACAGAACAACCTCCCGGCGCGCCGACCCTGCGGCTGCCGCAGATCAAAACCACGAAGCTCGGCAGCCTCGCGAGAGCGGAATACCAGGCCACCGCGCCGCGGAACATCGACTGACGCTTCTTCTTCACCGCGGGGCTCGGCACGCACGCGTGCGTCTTTTAGGCCTACTTTGGCAGCCCAGATTCCCTGAGGGATCCCGGTCTTTTAGGCCTACTTTGGCAGCTCAGATCTGCCCCGTGCCAGTCTTCTTGGACCAACTGTTTACGCCCTTTGGCAGCCCACCAACCCGAGGAACGCAGCCCGCTTCCTCTCGTTTTCCGCGCGGAAGAAATCCACGAGTGATGAGGCCGGGAGGGTTTCCCCGTGCTGACCGCTCGCGCAACTCTTCGCCTCTTCCTCCGCTCGCGTAGCCGCTAGTCGCGAGGCCGCCGCCGTCGCCCCGGCATCCCATCGCCGCCTCTCCTCCGCCTTCTCGTCGCTTCGGCTCACGCCAACGGTGAGCCCGCCTACTCAGAGCCTCTCCTCCGCTAGGGTTTCGGTTTTCTTCTCAGACTGTTTCTCGCCGCCTCTCCTCCGCTAGGGTTTCGCCTCAGAGCCTGATCCAGTGCCACCGCCGCCGCCGCCGTCCGCCCGCAGACGCGACCGCGCCGGCTCGATCTCCACCCCTGCTCCGTGACTGCCCCCACCTGGCTGCCTTGCCTCGTCCCAAGAACCGGTGAGCCCTTCCTCTCTCCCAACAATATCATGTTTTATCTGGTTTCGGGTCTCATCCTCTCTTCTCTTTCTTGTAGATCCTGGGGCTGCCATCGCCACCTCAACGCCCGGCTGCGTGAAGCTTATCCAGTGACGCCGCCGCCCGCCGACCGGACCGCACCGGCTCAATCTCCACTGCTCCGTGACTGCCCCCGCCTGGCCACCTTGCCTCGTCCCAAGATCCAGTGAGTCCTTCCTCCCTCCTCCTTGTCCCTCCCAAGTTTGAGCTTCTGCGACTTGGATGTGTACCTTTTACTCATTGGATGTGCTTGTAGTAGCATGCTGAGAATATCATGTTTTGTCCAGTATATAATTTGACAAATTTATCAAAACCAGCACTTATTTCGAAAAATGGGAAACAAGTCAAATCTAATTCCCCATAATTCTCAAGTCTTGTTAGTTTTTTGTTTCTTTTTTTGAAGGAATGTCTTGCCAGTTTTACATGGCAACACTACCAAATACTAGTAGGATCTAAATGCATAAGTGAATTGAACACTGGCTTCATCTAGGTGGCGGCGGCTACTGCTGCTTATCATAAGTGAATCTATCAGTCTATGAATCCTGTGTCTTGAGGGAAGCAGCACCCAGCTCACATCTTCCCCCTTGTTAACGAAGGCGCCGAGTAGCCTTGCACCATACTGGTAGTCCTCCTGGGATTCAGAATCCAGCAACACAGCGCCGTACTTGATCAAGTCCATGCCCTTGATGGATAGAGGATCCTTCCTGCATTTCGCGCTGATATCAGAAATGTACCTACCGATGGCATCCTCGCCCCACTTCTCTGACAGCTGCTCCAGTGATTGGAGGCGTCTGACCACATTTGCCTCGTAGATGTACATAGGTAGTAGCAATACCAAGAACATGGCGCCTTGGAAAATAATAAGTGAATAGAATATGTTCAGTGTTGCCATCATGTCTGCCATGCTGTCAGTCCCATCCATGTGATAACCGTGATTCAGCTTCGCTATGCGCCATGACGAGATCCCTGCACAGGCCAATGGCCCGAGCACGTAGAACAGCCAGATGCACCAAAACAGGACCGTCAATGGCCATAGCAATGCTATTAGTACTACTAGTAGTGCAGGAATACGAGCGATAAGGAAGTCCCCGGCACTGAATAGTATCATCCAAAATTCCACGAAATATTGTAGATTGGTCTCCCAGTCCTGTAAAATCCTGCGGGCAACAAGCATGCATAGTCCGTCAGTGTCCTACCCATCTCATGTGCGCCCCTCCCAAAGTCATTAGTGAGAGAGTCTAGTCATTGCAACTTCGCAGTACATGCACGTAGAGTCTAGTCAGTGTACTTCGCAGTACATGCATGCCTCGGCCTGTTTTGATTGTGGCCTGTCAAGCATGTATGGTCCACGTAAACAATTCTATCCCCAAAATTCTACAATCGGACGTGTGGCAACTATCCCTGGCCGAGGCAAATTTCCCAAGCAGCAATCAAACAGGCCGTTTAGGCTTAGAATCAGCCTTACGTACTTGTCAGCAACCAAGCCCAATAGCCCACATGACTGGTATGTTCGGTGGTCCAATCCAATTCTGTACGACGACAATTGTCCTCGAAAAGAGGATAACTGAAAATTGACAGCATGCAAGTGCAGTTGAGTTAGGTCGTCTGGCCTTGTTAAGCATAGTGGGTCATATTCCTTTGGCTTTAAAATAGATAATAATTTGGCTGTTGTTTTTGTTATCAGTCCTATTCTAAAAAAATGAATGCATACATGCCTGGATGAGTAGGTGCTGGATCATAGAGCTACTCAAGGATCCATGACCACTCACTCACTACCGAGCTTTGCTTGTGCTTGGCTTGCTTCTACAAGGATGGATTGATTTGGTTCTCCTTTGCTTGTGCATAGCATAGCGCATCAACACTTGGACTGGTACTGGGAGGTTATGTTGGTGCTTCAGGTATAGTTGTTTGATCGATAGACGCAATAGTAGTTTTGATTGATGCTGATGATTGTTTGATTGCTTTGGATTCGGGAGTTGTGTGCCTGTTGCTGCTTTCACCTTGTTTCACCGGTGCTCGCTCTTGTTGTTCAAGGGAGCTAGGCTAGTCTTTAGTCCAGTCTGTGATGCTGATGCTGATGCATGCAAGCGGTTGCAGCACAGTGTCTTCCATGGCAGCCAGCCATGGGCCAAGGTGCCTTTTGATTCTGCCCTTGGCTCCGTAATGTCAGATTCATGTAACATTTTTGAGATATATATATATTAGCCTGCAAACATCTTGGTTGTCTGGAGTGTCTCCCACTTCATTTCATTCTATCTGCAGCCTACTGTCGGAGCCACAGACAGCTGTAATGCTAACCAAACCTCTCCAAGTATAGAATGTTATAGAAAATGATTAGGTACTTCTGACTTTTTTAGACTTTTAATACTTGTTTTCTCTACTTATAATACTTGTTTTCTTAACTTTTTTAGACTTTTAATACTTTGAATATGCCCTTCTAATACTTGTTTTCTCTACTTTGAGTGCTCTCCTTTTCTCTAGTTGATTTGAATTGGTAATATATATGTAATAATATAATTTCATATATGTAACACTAGATGGCTTCTTGGGAAGAGCTTGCTAGGAATTTTTTGTTGGAAGAGGAAGAAGAAGATGAGGAGCTATTCTTTGTTCTTCTCCCTGCTGTAATGCCCTTTCTCGACGAAGAGAAAACACCTGAGCATACCTCTTCTCTTTCTGGTGCTAAAAAGGTTAAAGAGATCCTCGAAGGACACGAGAATTGGTGCAAGAAAGAATTTAGGATGGAGGCTGAAATATTTAGAACTATAGCAAACTTTCTCAGGGCCGAGAACTTGCTGCGTGACACACGTGGTATGAAGATTGAGGAGCAACTTGGTATTTTTATGTTCATGCTCTCTCATAATGCAAGCACAGAGAGGCTAAAGAAGGAGTTTCAACATAGTGGTGAGACAGTGCATAGGAAAATATATGATGTCTTCAATATCATTCCAACATTAACCCAAAAATTCATCAGACTTCCGAATCCAAGCCACACACACATGAAGATTACATGTGACCCTAGATTTATGCCATTCTTTCAGGTCGGTTAATACATACAGTACACTTTCCTTAATACCATTCCTAAATACAATCCAAATCTTTAGTAAATTTTCTTACCAGAGAAGCTGCATCGGGCGCTTATCGATGGTACGCATGTCCCAATCACAATTGGACAAGACAAGGCCAGTCCCTATAGAAATAGGAAGGGGACACTATCGCAGAATGTTATGTTTGCCTGTGACTTCGACTTGAAGTTCACTTTCATCTCATCTGGTTGGGAAGGATTCGCATCTGATGCAGGAGTGTTGCGGTCTGCTCTTGGCAAGGGATTTATTGTGCCGGCCAGAGCAAATTCTATCTTGTAGACGGTGGATATGCAAACACACCATCATTCCTTGCTCCCTACCGAGGAGTTAAGTACCATCTCAAAGTGAGTTCGGGGAGACGTGGCGTGGAGGGGAAATGCATATGCCAACTACAAGGAATTGTTTAATCATCGGCATGCGATTCTTCGAAATCACATTGAGAGGGCCTTTGGGGTTCTCAAAAAGCGGTTTCCAATTCGAAAGTGGGGACACATTACCCAATTGAATCTCAAGTTATGATTCCGGAATGTCATTTGTGTTTCACAACATCATTAGAGGGTTGAATGGGAGTGAAGAGTGGCTAGACATCCCCACCGATAATATCAACCCATCAAATTATGTCGACATGCAGGAGGAGACACTAACTACCCAAGTGAGATGAAATCAAACCATGGAAATACCCTACGAGACCAGATAGCCCATCAGATGTGGGTTGCCTACAATGTGTAGGATAGTAGTGTTTGGAATGTAATTTATGAGTTATGAGTTATGTATTTCTGTAATACATTATGTGATCCAATATTCTGTAATAAATTCTCCAATACATTCTATAATATGTTATGAGTTATGCATTTTTCGTGTGATCCAACATTACGTAATAAATTCTCCAATACATTCTATAATATTTTATGAGCTATGTATTTCGTAATTATTTCTTGCGACAATGTCGAAATCAAGGGCTACATGGAACTCTAGATATGAGAAAGGGCTTGTTGACATTATGAGGGATCATGTGAACATCCCCTTGTTCGAGGGGTCGAGAATGGATGGAGTGGAGAGGTTGGAGAAGTATCTCGAGAGAAGTTTACCCAAATGTATCCTTTAGCATGCTTCACAAAGCAATGACTACAAGAGAAGGAAAATGAGCTAAAGGGCGTTGGAAGGCGATACATGTAGCGTTAAAGGATAGTGGTGTTGGTTGGAATGACTCATTGGCCATGGTCATTGCGGAACCGAAAAATGGAAGAAAACCGATCAATGTAAGATTTTTTTCACTAAACCAAAAAATTGTTGCCATATTACGGTTGCAAGTACTAACTATCTTTGTTGTCTTGGTATTAAATAGGATAATAGAAAAATGGCTAGGTTCCAGAAGAAGTCGTTTCCTTTATATGAAGATATGACGTCATTGTATCTTTGGTATGTTATTTGAAACTTCTCTCTAAGGTTATGTAGCTTTTTTTTCTCGCCTTTGCTTTGCTTTCCTATATATGCTGCAAAGGCACACCGTTAAAAAAAAGGAAGAAAGAAATAAGGAGATCTATAGTTCACATCAACTGAGCACTATAGTGTTAGATCAGCATTTGCATAACCAGTATATCTATAGCGTCTCTTGGTTGGCCGCTCTATAGTTCCCTCACCATCATTTGCATAACTTTGAAGTTCAGTATAGTCGCTCTGAGTTCAGTTTTGTGATGATATTTTAAAACATTACAACTCGTTGGGTTAACTATAATTTGGCTAAATGTGATGCACGAACCCTGAGGACATCAATGACGCATACAATACTTTTATCTAAGTATTTTTCTTATTCCCCATTTTTCGTGAGCACAACTTGGAGAGCTGCAATTGTTCTTGTTCTTTGTCTTTCTCTGTGAGAATGACAAACCTTGAAGAATAGAAAAGCGCAAAAGAATAGAAGGTTTACCAAAACTTGTTCATTGGATGCCACATAGCTTCGTTGTTGGCATGTCTTCATCACAAGCCCTGTTCATCAACCAATACGCTTCACTTTCAGCAGACGGTAGTACACATAAAGACAACTAGTGTATTCCATTACGTTTGGTACCAAGAATACATGATTGCATGAAACATGACGATTCATCGAGAAATATTGTTGACATTACATGGCTAATGCTAGCAAACCCCTGCATATTAAATTTGCCTTGATGTAGCAACCTGCAGATATCAATTATGACGCTTCTATGCCCTCTGGTCTAAACCCATCAAGAGAGAAAAGACAAAAGCATTTGAAACAAAGTTGTGATTTAATCGGGTCCTGATTTAAACCATAGGAAGTGTTCTATTTTTCGCCCACCCATCGGTTTCTAGTAAAAGTAGTAACTCTTCCTATTTTTTTGCATAGGAAGTGTTGCTACTGAGGAGATCTAAACTTCACATCAATCGAGCACTTGCACTGCTCCTCTTGTTCCTATTGCTTTGCCCATTTGCTCCGCTACTGCTCTGGTTGCTCCACGGCTCCAGCTTGCTCTCTGTTGCGTTGTACGATAGCACAAGTCCGGTGCTACTTTTGATGGGCTAGACGTCTCAAGTGCACGCAATGAAGCTCGATCGCACCTTCCAATCAAGATTACGTGCAAGAACGCAGTGGTGGGAGAAAGCGTAAGCAAAGTCACATTGGTGCTGCTATTGATGGTTTTGTGCGGTTTAAGAAGATGCAACAAGTAAAACAATGGAAGCACTCAATGAAAAGAAGAAACAAGCGAAGCATTTTCGGTCGACAAGTGTCTCGATGAAGTTGATGCAATGGAACTTCTTGATGTGGAGAAGGCGATGCTATGAATATCTTCAAATCTGAGATAGATAGGGAGGTATTCATGAAAATGAAAAAAAAATGTTCGCTTGATTTGGCTCAAACAGCAGATTAGGTAATAATGCTTATTGCCCTTTGGATTAGTTTACTTTGGTATGTCTTAGCTGCTAATGCTTTTCCTTGTGCTTACTTGCAGTGCTATCTGTAGAGGCAATGTTGGTGGAGGCAATGTTTGAATTGAGAAGAAAAATGCAGCTGCAGTCATTGTATGTAGGTATTTCCATCGTTGTGAGCACATTATATTGCACTGGTTAGGTCAAATGTTTTTATTAGTGTGAGCCTAGAATTTGTCATTTATACTTGCTTATGTTCTCTACAGAACTTGGATTGCTGTTGTCAGGTTAGCTATGTGTTGCTAAATTAAGATTCTATTTTCCTGCTATGAAAGCATAGCTCAGTCCTTGTCAGGTTGTCATAATAGCTTTCCTGAGACCTTTCCTACAGGGAGGGTTGAGCACACATTGGTAGATTGGTCAGTGTCTGAGCTGTGTTTCCGATCTTATTTGCAAGTAGCCTCTTTTGTTTATAAAAATAATGCCTCTGGTTTTGTAGAGGAGTTGTAGTACATGTCGCTCAGTCCTTGTCGCTGGTGTATTCATGTTATGGTGTTGGAATTTTGCTACTCCTGTCCATTTTGCTAGGTTTGCTCATAGCTCTCTCTCTCTAGTACAGATCTTGCTATATGTACAGTATGTCTTGGCCTTTTTTATCTTGTGATAGAGAGGTGAGTGAGTCTGTTTGTTTTGTCCATTTCATGTGTAGAGAGATAAGGGAGATGAATGCAACTCACCAGTTCATGATATGGAATGTGTAGCAAGCATGACACTACATTGTTCTGCTGCATATTCTTGTAAGCTGCGTATTCCCTTGTAACTCACCATTTCCTTTGTGTTACTTGTAGAGGACTTGGTGGAAGCAACACATGATTAGCGAAAAAAAGTTTGTTCCCTTCATCACAAGCATCTGAGAAAATGTTCAAGCTCATAGCGAGATTTCGTTCCTCCTGTCTGTCGATTTTTATATACATACAGCTACTATTTGTCAATTTTTTTATGCTACAAGCATCTATGTAATATTGGTGTGTATGAACTAGAGGACCATAATATTGGTTAAATTTTTGTATCAATCAGTTTAGGTTTGTGTTGATTTTGGGAGTGCGGAGGTGTCTTTGCTATGCCTGTATCGTTCTTTGAAACTGCAGTTCAGTGGAGATCGACAATTTTTTTCTCCACTGCAGCTTCTTGCTACAGCAACAGTTTGTTTATTTTGTTTGGACCTTAAGCTAAGCAGTGTTCTCGTTCGTTTTCCTTGTCTGAACTGCAGCTCGATTCTAGTCTTGTGTCGTGTTTCAATTCAGTTCAGTTCAGTACAGTTTAGTTTTCCCTGTGCCGGCAGCCTGTTGCCAAAGGACAACGTGGAAACTTTCCCCACCCGTGGTTACCTGCCCTGGGAAGAGGCGGGAAGAAGAAGTTCAAAAAAATTCCATCGGGGGTTTCCTGTCCCCGGGCTAATAAGCACCTGTTGCCAAAGTAGGCCTTAACGGGACCTGCCAGGGCCCGAACGGGTTTCAGTTCGCGGCGTCCATCAACAACGTCTTGTTCATGCTGCCCACGGCGGCCCTGCTGCAGGTGCACTTCGTCGTGGTCCCGAATGATCACGATTTTGAGGGATTGGCAAGCGAGGCGAGCGGGAGGATCGAACTCGAGGTGGAGGCAATGTCATAGTCGGTCAATATGAGTTTTTTCAGGGGCAAACTCGAACGGTGACATGTTATCCGAGCAGTACGTACGTGAAAAGAACTTGGAGACCGACCAGTACGTACGTGAAAAGAACTTGGACAATTGCATGGCTGACCCTCTGAACTCCACTTCCGTTCGGTCGATTGGCGAAGACTTTGGCCCAGACGCGCGGACGATGCGGATTCTGTAGACGACGAGCGAGGCGATCTATGTTTTACGTAGGGAGCGAGGGGATTGGCTAGCACACGACGAGAACGGCACTAAATTTTGTGTAATAATAGATTATTTTGGTCTGGCCTTCCCTAACAAACTATGCGAATATGCAAACTATCCCTCTTCTCTCTAGATATGAGATACGTCCGCCCTCCACACCGGTCGCAACTGGGATCGTCACCTCCAGAGTTCGCGTCCGAACGCAATTCCAAATGCAGAGTCCAAAACCAATTCCGAAGGCAGAGGACATGAACATCTAAAATTAGAGGGGCACAAAACAATATGGATTCAGTCCGTGCCCTTTGCCGGATTGTTTTTCCTTTATTTTGTCCGTTTCCGCCTGTCCACTAAAGACCGCGTCCTTTTTTCCTATGGAAAGTGTTCCCGTCCGTGCCCGGTTGTTTTTTTATGTTTATGCTTTCCTCACGTTTAGTTCCGGTGATTTTTTGTTTCTTCTTTTTAATCTCTTCTTCTTTTTATAAATAGAAAAAAATAAAGATAGTATTTTGTGTCTTTGATTTGATCTCTTTCTCGTTTCCTAATAAATACTATTTTTGTCACTGATCAATCTAGATCTTCCGATGCTCCAGCTAATCAACCTTAATAAATATAATACTTTGTCCAGTCTAATCTATATCTATATACCTATACTTCTTTGCCTAATATTAAATAGCCAAAAAATTATTACTTTTTGTCCACCCCCCTTAACTATCTAGATAATGGAGAGTTCTTTTTTTTAGTTGATCCGGACTTATGACTTATAGTACTATACCCATACGAGTTTGAACAACTCCCATCTAGCAATGATGAATATAAGCTTCGATTCCAATATGTATTGGGTCACGTCCTCCGCATCTCGTACTTAACTCGGACGCATGACTCCCGCTAACAACTCATATCTAGCAATGATATGGAGTTCAATTCGTGCTTCCTCTTTCCCATAATAGAATTCGTTATGTGATACGTTCAGGTCAAACTTTCTCAACTTTGACTCGGTTTGTAGAAACGATAATGATATAGAGCGGGCGTCCGTCCTGTCCGGACGGACCTCGCTGCCACAGGAACGCTCTCCCGCAACGCAACCGCCCTCATCCGATCCCGCACGATCCCGCAACGCTCTCCCTCATCCTCATCCCCACTCTGCCGCTCGCTCCCCCATCCCCACACCGGTTCCCATGCCCATGCGCAAGCTCGCTGTCGCCCCGCTCGCCGTGCTCCCTTCCTTCCTCTCCCTCCGTCCCTCCCCTCCGCGAGCTCCATGCGACCCGCGCTCCCCAGCGACCCAGCTCCCATGCCCTCCACCGAAGATGACGACGATGACAGCGGCTCTGACGAGGTAGGTCGGTCCTTCTTTGGATCTGAGTCTTCCTCCTCCTCTGGATCTGAGCTCTCGTCCTCCTCCTCCTCCTCCTCTGGATCTGAGGGACGTGGCGGTGGCTAGGGTTCCGGTGAGCTCTGGGGTCCTTCCCTCCTTCCTCCGGCAAGTTCGGAGGTGATGGGTCAGGGCTGGAGCAGGCTGCACCTCGAACCCATCTCCTTTGCTGTTCGTACGCCCTTTTTGCTGTTTCCTCCATGTTGCAATGGGTTTTTTGGATGTTGCAACAGATGGTTTTCGAATGTTGCAATGTGATTTTTGGGTTGTTGCAACAGATGTTTTTCGAATGGTCCCATTTTCCATGTTTTATGGTTGATTTTACGATTTTGCAGCACATATTTTTCGATGTTGCAGCACATAATTTTCGATGTTGTAGCACATAATTTTCGATGTTGCAGTACATATTTTCCGATGTTGCATTAGATGTTTTTTCGATGTTGCAGTACATGTTTTGGTGATGTTGCAGCACATAATTTTAGATATTGCAGTACATATTTTTCGATGTTGCACTACATTTTTTGTGATGCTGCAGTATTCATATTCCGATGTTGCACTATATAGTTTTTCCATACGTTTGCGATGTTGCGCTTGAAGTGTTATCGTGCTCTTGGGACGGGGGGCACGGTGGGGGAATGGGGTGACGCTGGGGCGGGCGGGTTCCATTCTATTCCCAAGGTGGAGCGGGCGGGTTTGGGAAGGGAGCGGCGTTACGTTTTATTCCCGCGGGGGACGGGCGGGTTTGGGAAGGGCGCGGCGTCCGGACGCGTCTCGCACGCCAGACGTCCGAGGGCTAGGATTACCGTTGTAGAAAATACGTACAACATTTATATCTCCAAATAAGTTTACTATAAAAATATATTCAACGATCTATCTAATGACACTGATTATGTATTATAAATATTATTATTCTTTTATATATAATTGGTCAAAGTTAAAAAAGCTGACTTCTCGGGAAGCGAGAACGACTTCTACTTTGGGATAGAGGGAGCATATGTATTGGATCCCGTTGCAACGCACGGGCATTTTGCTAGTAAAGTAAGAAATATAGCAGCTGAATGTGCTACAGACAAAAAGGTCAAACAAAACACAATACCATCACATCATTCTCTGCAAAAACGAGTTAGGCGTTTCTACGAATGATGCAACGCGTCCCGTTTTTTTAATTAAAACACGATCTGGTCCCGTCAGCCGATAACGGATAGAATAGATTTTTCGCATACTGCCAGCACGCTAACAGGCATGGCGTTCTAGCCGACATAGCCGCGTATTGACTGTTTCGCTACACGAACTCACAACCTCGTGGTCAGCCGCGCGACGCTCGCGCGCCGTCGTAAAGACGGCCAGTTAGCCCGTCACATAATGAGGAAGTAAGAACGGAGTAAAACAATTCAATTCGCGCGTAACGCTATTCGCCAAAACGATCTGATCTACAACCAACCATGTAAAATATTTAATCTAGATAAAAAACAGCACAAGTACAGCTCTGGTAGCACCGTTAGAAACGCGGTATGCTACTCGCTAGCACACAAAGAATTAACCGCATAAACAGGATCACTTGCGAGGAGATGATCATAGATTATACCTTCGCTCGTCGCAGCGGAAGTCTTGATGAAGCACGAGTAGTCGATCCGATCAACGTCGAGGAAGTAGTCGTACGATCTGACGAAGTGCGCAACCTAGCGACACCTCGACGGTAGTCCACACATACGGGATGGGACGACGAACCGGAGCGTGCTAGCACTCCATGGCACGTACTTGAAGATCCTCACGATCAACCTTTGATCGGGGGGAAGACTGCAGGTGCGGCGGCGGCAGGAACCTTGGCCGGCGGCTGCACTGGCAGGAGCCC